AGCCCTCAACAAGCTGGACTGACACAATGGCTACAACTATGGGCGTAGACGAGGAATGCCAGTGAGAATGGTGCAGGACTGGGCCTGTGTCATTCTGTTGTACATAGTAGGGTCACTAGGAATCAGAACTGACTCGATGGCATTCAACAACATAGTAAAGGTCTCTGTTTTGATAGCTGTTGAGTAAGACATTCGATGATTTCTTTGCAATATTTTACAGGACTATCCACCCACCCAGAGTTTTATTTCTCCATAAGATAACCTAGACTGGATGAAAATTTGGAGCACACCCGTAGCCAAAGAGCAAGTTCCAAAACCAATGGTGGCAGAATTTCATTAATAGGATGAAAACACACACAAAACAACGTCCTTTAAGGCCACATGAGGAAAAGTTACTCAAAATCTTTGCAAGGCTAATTCCTAGGAGATCATTCTTTATTAGCTCCACTTCACTTTTGACAAGTTTCCATTTTCATAGACTCATACTTCATACATTCCACACTATCTATTATTGTTAAATATTTGCAGCTGTTTCTTCTCATTTTAAGTCCTACCCCATCTGCAAAGGAAGGTACCCAATGCTGTATCCAGCCTACGTCATTATAGGCAACTCTTCTTTTAGGAAGCAACCATTCTTCCGTTGGATTTTGAACGCCTTCCAAACTGAGGGCCTCCTCTCCTGGTACTGTAACTGTCAAAGTTCTGTGGCTGTTCATAAGGTTTTCTGTGACTAATCTCTCAGAAGTGGACAACCTATTCCTTCTTCATAGCCTGTTCTTCATCTGGAAGCTCTGCTGAAATCTGTTCACCATGTGTGACCCTGTTGGTATTTGAAATTCAAACTCGACTATTAGAGCAAGTAAGCCACCACAATACAAAAACTGCCTGGTGGGTAATGGCTTTTCTTGTTAACACAAGCTAACGATCATCAATAGGCTCGGTATCCAAAGAGGTTCTGGAATCCACTGTAATTGAGAGATATGCTTTTTAATTTTGTAGCATTATGAGTAGTCAGGAGCACTAGATAAATTCTGTTCCTTTGGTAGTTATTGGGTTTGAACTGATATTAGCATGGAGTCAAGTAAATCATGTGGCGCCCCCTACCCACCCTCCCACCCCTCCATCCTTCCCGCAATCTGCTTCATTTTCAAAGTTTTTGGTGGGCAGGATTCATTTAGTATTGTTTATGGCTGTTTTAATCCATCCCTTCTTGCCTAGCTCTTATAATCTCATTTGCCTCCCTCTTGTGCAATTATTTCTGAGCCTGCATAGGAGGAGGTTAAAGTCAATAGGGTATTATGTCCCAACTGTGTAAAATATTGTAAGCAAAACGCACAACAATAAGAACAAGTGCAACAAACTATTTCTCTAATTATTATACGTGATATTCCAAAAGCAATTTTTTCCCACAAGGTCTTCCACCCAGAGTACTACCTATTAATCACAGCCCACCAAGTGTTTTCTCCATGATGGTCAATTCTATCCAATTGTGTCATGAGGAGTGACTTACTAAAGCTTCCCTATCAGGAATATACAGAACTTCCAACTTTCAGGAAAGCATCGTTGCCTTCTTGAGCTATAGTTATGATGTACAAAGCTATTCAAATTTGTACACCACCTTCTTCGTGGCTTTAGTTTCTTCATTTAAGGCAACAATCTATGTTCACATGGTTCAAGGCTAAGAAGACAATTTAGTGCAAAAATTTAATTTTCCCTACAACATTTCCTATACTAAGGGTGGATAACTTTTAGCATTAAGACATGAGTAACTTAAAATATTTTTCCGTAACTTAATAACCAATATATTGTGATAGGAATAAAGATGAGAACTTATAAATGTTAAGTCTAATGACCAAAATAATAGTGGTTATTTCTTTGCTTGAGCAGGACTTCTAAGGTATGGGGCAATACAGAATGAGAGCGATTCACAAAAATTTGTCTTAGGAGGGTCTTAATAATTTTCCTGCTTTTGTCGTGCCTTTTATGCACCCAGGTAAGATCTTAACTATAGGATTCAGTGGTAAAAATTTTAAAAGCGAGAGAATTACAGGTCTCTGTTGCTCTTGACTCGGTGCCCCTAAGCACTGCTCTGACCATTCATGAACATGCAAAAGTGTGTCATAAAGTATTGCTACAAGGATTCTGGTTCACACATGTACAAACACAAACAAAATGTGCTTCATTCATCATGTGTCTGGGAATAGCGGATGGCTGCAGACAAGTTCTCTTGGTATTTTACTTGTATAATACTTGTCTTTGTCTTGTGATAAAAACAACTCACTGCCAGAAACCAAATAGTGCCTGGCTATCAGATATGACAGTGTTGGGGTCTTTAAAACATCTCTTAACTCAAGCAGTCATCCATCCAAATGAGGTGTCTGCTAAATCCGCATAAAAAGAACATTCCAGCCTGTGTAATTCAAGGATTGTTAAAAATAAAATCTATAGACAGAGGAGGGAATTGTATTACAGCTTAAGTTCCAAGCACTCAATTTTCAGAAACCTATGCATGATAGTGAATGCCCAAAAGTCATTTGTAGTCTTCACATGGATTAAGCCTCCATTGAATTCCCTCTGACCACAGACAAGGGATGTGAATAGTCTTGCCCTCAGACAGAATCCATTGGATAGTGGATGATGTCCACCACACTAAGCATCCCAGGGAGTTGAAATATCCTTCAGGGGCTTACCTGGGTAAGTCCTTGATGGAGAGCTCTGTACTGGAAGTGGCATGATCCTGAGTCATGCCCTGACTGCCTTGGGGAGGCTGTTGGACCAATATTGTAAGCTCCTCTGTTTTACATACTGCACATGTCCCAATCATGCTCCAATTGTGCTCCAGAAGTGACTATGGTCTATGGATCTGATGACAGCCATATTGATCTAA